GAGGGTATGTAAAGCAAACACAGCTTATATATTTATTACAAATTGTATGTTTTTCCCAATTAAAATTAATAGAATGTATTTTGTTTGTCTCAATCGACCTTACCCATGGACAATGGTCAAACTTACATATGTAAATATCGAGGAAACGTTTTCCTCTTTAACAATTCCAAATTTAAAAGTTTTTTTCATATACAATTTTAGTCGAGCCTATTTCATAACTATGGGCAATTTGAAATTTAATTGAACATATCCAAAAAAGACAACATTCTAGAATAGGTCAGTTCAGTGAACTTGACTGATTGGTTTTTGTTGTTGTTGTTTGGTTTTATTTTCAAAACTACACGTGAAGAACGACATATGAACGGAAATCCATAGAATCGATTTCAACAAAAATAAAAAAAAAAAACAGAACCGCGATTTTTGTTATTTTATTTCATTTCTGTGTTTTTTTTTCATTTGCTTACTCTCATTCATACATAGCATGAAATACCATAAAGCTTCATTAAAACATCAAACAAAGATAATCATGATGATTAATTATTTAAAATAAGTTTTGCACATTTCAGTTTTTTTTGCTTGAGTTTTATTATTTTGGAACGAAAAACAATTAAATTTTAATAGTCATTATAAGACCTGTTTACACTGCTGGCATTTTTTTGCCGGTCATTGTTTATGACGCTTGGCAAAAACCGAAAGAATGGGGAAAGAACAAAAATGAAATCATGTTAAATCATGTTACTCAGAATGTAACACCCACATCCAGGGAAAGAGTGGAGGTAAGAAAAAAATTCTTCAAAATTTAGTGACATTACTAACGACTACGAGATAAAAGGGATCATATTGTTGGTAGACTTTGGAGATTCATAATTTTTAGTCGATGATGGATACAACTTTTTAAGCACTAATGACTCTTATGTTTCTCCTTTGATTCTTGCGTGTGACGTGAAATTAAATAAACACACAAATTGTTGGGTCATCTGTCATAAATTCAAATATGATACCCAATTATTTTTTATTCTTCCCTTACATCATAGAAACCAGTTATCAATTATCCATTAAGCAAATATTTGTTTTTATTTTATATTTTATTTTATATTTACAAAAATTTATTTAAAAATTTGTTCGATTGAATTATCGAATTTTATTCCAACGCCCAGAAATATAAATAGCAACCCTCGTCTATTTCCTACAATAAAATTTTTATTTTTTGCTATTTTTTACAACAAATTCCACACATTCATTATTGACAAATTGGTTGATGTAAAAACAGACACTTTTAGCACTCAAATAAAAATCAGGTAGCATGAAGTTTAGAATTTCTTTGTTCGTGAAATGTAAATTTTCGAAAAGGTTATAATTAAGACAAATACTTGTACAAATAAAAAGTAAACAAATTAAGAAATTTAAAAATACAAAACCCCCTTAAAACAATAATAACAAAAATTATCTACTATGAATAGACATTTTGTGGCAAATTAATTATTTTTAATTTTTCTCTCATTTTGAAATCCCAAAGACATTATTGAAAATTATATACAAGTAACATGCGGAATATAATCATTTGGGCAGACTATTTGATGCGCTACGTAACTACTAAGGGCAATTTGGACGAAAATAAAATAAAGCACAATTGGAAATGTAAGCCCTGCCTTAATTAAGGAAATTTATTTTCTACACAATTTCCTTCATGTCCGATATACTGATTATAGTAACCATTTTTTCGGGTTTTAATTACGAGGCTTTAATTTTGAATTTCGGATTCTTGGATTGTGAAAAGTATTCAATATAGGTATAAATTTTTAGCTCCAAATACCTTTTCAACCGAAGAGGAAGTAATTGCCGATGTGGGTTCATGGATGGTTTTTATGGTGAAAAATTCATCCTCAAAATATATATCTGTTGACGGTTTTCGATATTAAAAACCGCATTCAGTTGGGCGATACCTGGGAGCTTTAAGGTTGATCAAGAAAAACCAAACCTATTTTTGGTGAGACTGGAAAACAAGACAAAAAAAGTTCTCCTTGACCATAACCAATATATTACGTAATATTATGTTTTTGGTCCACTTCATCCCAAAATTATTATCTGATCATCACAGAAAATTATAGGTGTTGTCCTTAACTGGATCCTTATGGAACATTTCAAAGTGATGGTTTACTGAATAATATCTGAATACGTAAGTACCTGTAAATATGTAAGTGTAACTCCCACATACGAGTACATACGACAATATAATTAGTAGCTTTAACACTAGATTGCCGAAGGCAGTCATTTTGACCGTTTTTCAATTTCAAGTACAAAAACAATTGTGTATATTATGACCCAGCTTTTTAAAATTTGGTGACTTTTTGTACCACATAGAACTACGTTTATTAATCATAGTAGCTGCTTCCTCCCCTCTTTCATTCCCCGTATTCACATGTGCTATACCTATATTGCCTAAAAGCGGTCATTTTGACCTTTTGTGAAATATTAAATAATCAAACTACTTTTATTATTGTATAAAGTAAATTTCTTATATAACCAGATCAGTACAACAACATCGAACCCCATTTTCTACTATAAAAACACAAACGAACATACAAATCGGGAAAAATAAATTTTATATTTCCAGTCGATTTCACTTTCACAGTAAAGACTTCCTCTTTTTCGAACATTTTGTCCGCGCTCTTATTTTTCAAAAGGGGAAACTCGAGAGCCCTACCACCGAAAACAAATAATAACAACGTTTTGTATGATTGTAAATAATGTAAAAATATTAAAAATTTATTTACAAAATTTTCTTTACACAATAAAAATTCTTTCAGAATAAGGTCATTTTGACCGATTTTAGGCAATATAGGTATATACAAAATTCCCGTCTTTCTAGTGTTAAAGGCCTACCTACCTATGACCTATCGATCAATTATTTGTGGCTGGCTTTTCGAGTTCGGATTAACATTTGACCTAAAATTATATTTGTATACCCTTCACCACACAGTGGTACAGGGTATTATGTCTTTGTGCATATGTTTGTAACAGGCAAAAGGAGATGGGCACATGGTTCCTTTTGAGAATATGCATAGAAACACTTTCTAAGTCGATTAGTGCATGTCCGTCCGTCTGTCTGCCCATGTTGAATTGTAAACAAAGTACAGGTCGCATTTATGATCTGAATTGGATGAAATTTGGCTTAGGTCACTTATTCGGCCCAAGGACGGTAACAATCGGTTCAGGTTTAGATATAGCTCCCATAAATATTTCGTCCAATTTAATGTAAATAATACACCAAAGTCCCTATATATCTTTCGAGTTGCACGAAATTTGGCATAGCGTACTGAATTAATTATAGAATGACGTGAGTTAATTTTCCTGAAAATCGGTTCAGATTTAGATATAGCTCCCATATATATTTTCGTCCGATTTAATGTATATGGTGCACCAAAGTCCGTATATACCTTTCGATTTACACGAAATTTGGCACAGCGTAATGAATTAGGCCTAGAATGATGTGTGTTAAGTTTCCTGAAAATCGGTTCAGATTTAGATATAGCTCCCATATCTATTTTCCTCCGATTTAATGTAAATGGTGTACCAATGTTCCTATATATCTTTCGATTTGCACGGAATTTGGCATAGCGTAATGAATTAGGTCTAGAATGAGGTGTGTTAAGTTTCCTGAAAATCGGTTCAGAATTAGATATAGCTCCCATATATATTTTCCTCCTATTAAATGTAAATGGTGCACCAAAGTCCCTATATATCTTTCGATTTACACGAAATTTGGCACAGCGTAATGAATTAGGCCTAGAATGTGTTAAGTTTCCTGAAAATCGGTTCAGAAATAGATATAGCTCCCATATATATTTTCCTCCTATTAAATGTAAATGGTCCACCAAAGTCCCTATATATATTTCGATTTACACGAAATTTGGCACAGCGTAATTAATTAGGTCTAGTATGATGTGTGTTAAGTTTCCTGAAATCGGTTCAGATTTAGATATAGCTTCTATATCTGACCAAATAAAAAATTTAGTATTGGTTGCAGAATGACATGTTTATGGATCCAATTTCATTTTACTGGTCCTTTAAAAATGCGACGTCTGTTAGGATTCATCTGTTGAATATATCCAAAGTGGTAAAGGATATCATATAGTCGGCCACGTCCGACTTTACTACTTTCCTTACTGATTTTTAATTCGCTCTTTAGGCCTAATTATGATCCTAAGATCATTGGTTAGGGGAAACTTGTCGACATATTTTAATTTTATTTCTATAACACTTAATTTTTGGTATTGTCCCTGTATTTGTTATTCAAGGTTATTGGAGGATAATATAATGTATTTCAGAAAGATTTCAAAATAGCTTTTTTTGGTCCCCCTGAATTTTAGATATTTTAATGGGCTTAAAGAGTATAAATATCAGTTCTCTTGAGAAATTTCCGCCTCATTTTAGATATTTTAAAGGTCTTAGCAGCGTTTTCCAAATGTTGATAATTTGCCTTCCGGGATTTTAGAGGATTAAGGTAATTTAAGGTAATTTGAAATTATGTCAATTAGTAATTTAAATTTTCGAATATTTTAAACTTCACATATACTTCCCCTAGAATTGTGAAGATTATAAATCGACTGTTGAAATAACATTCCAAATATTTTTTTGTTTGTTTTCAAATCACAACATTGTAATTTATTGTTCACAAATAGTTGATTTATTTCTCTTTAGATTTGCCGTCATTAATTATATTCGAGCATTAATTGTTTTTTAAACGGAATCAACTTAAAATCACACAAACAAATTGCAATAATTTATATAAAATTCAAATGTTTACTATTGTCAATGCACAAAAATACAAAACACAGTTTAGACATAAATTAGACATAACCTTGTCACTAAAGTTTTTCCCAGGGCAATTTCCTGGTCATTATTGCAATTTAAAATCACTTGCATTTTTTTTTTTTTTTTTTTTTTGTTGTTTACTTCGCTAATAAAATAACAATAAAGAGGTTTATATAAACACACACCTTTGCCCAGAAATCCTGTGCCACCAGTTATGAAGACCACTTTGTTGCGAAAGAAACTTTGAATATTGGAATTGATTTCCATTATGGATGATTTGTTAGATTTTTTTGCACTTTCAATTTTCTTCAATAAAATTCTTTATATTTGCTTTGTTAAAATTTTCCTTTATTATATAATCGATACACAAAAAACAACAACCGCTTAGAAAATCCAGAAATTAGTTTTCTTTTCGCCTGTTTTTCTTTTTCACTTTAAATGCACTTTGTGTGTTAGCAGCGCATGCTCGCGCGTTTTATTTACAATGACCAACCAAACGATGGCGAAATATTCCGTTCCGCGTTGTGCGCAGAAATAAAAACTTATTTTCAAACGTCAACGTCTTTTATAGATGGCCAACACACAAAGCAACGATTCGGCCAAATTGCAACTTGCCAATTGAAATTGAAACTAACAGCTCCAGCTCCAGCTAACCATCAGACAGAGCTTAGACGCTCTAAGATGTGACGTGTGTGTACGGATAGTTAATGTTGTTGGTGTGTGGGGGCTAGTTAGTTATTCTCTGTCGCCGATTTTTTGCCATCATCCTAGTGAATATATGTAGTAGTGGGAACTTACTTTGCATTGTTGTTGGAATTTTTACAAAATTTTGCATTTAAAATATCCCATTGTGCTATTTTGGAGAAAAGTTGTTTGCCAAAACTTTAAGCTAAATTAATCGCTTTGAAGGTAAAAGTACAGTGGTCACGAAGGAGAAATATTTTAATTAAATGTATAAACTATCAATCCGAGATACAGGAAGGTATACAAAAATGGATATGCAATTTCGACATTTCGATTTCTCAGATGATACTCACAAAATTGTTAATATATGATCATCTTTACACACCTCTCCATAAGGACCACGCCCCATTTTAAGGATTTTAGTGACTGTGGTTAAAATTTTCAGAGAGGCATTTCAGATTCACGGAGAATAGAGAATGTGACTGGAAAATATCAATATGAACTATTATAAGTGACACTGGGATCTTAAGAGGATAAACGATCTTCTGGTAACCAGTAAAAATGTGAATCAATGCAAATTTAAGCATAGATACAATATCATGGGACCGATCGATCTTTTATTTATTATTTTAATGGAGGTTGTAAACTATCGAAATTTTGAATCGATTTATGGACATGCATTTACTTTTTTCCATCATGAAACATATAGAAAATTTAGCACCGAATTTCACTTTGGATTTCAATCGGATTAAAATAAAAAATCGCACACTCGATATTACGTTTATTTGAATTTTCATTGGTTAGGAATACCTCCTGTATATACCCAAAATTTTGTAGTCAGGATATTCCTCAAATCATTAAAAAATATCGATTTTTATGATCCTCTGGGGCTCTTCTTTCAATGCATTATTTGTGTTCTATAGCTACACACAGATCCAAAATTTGCCACATTTGGTGTCATTTAGCACACATTAATATTTATTTTCATAAGTACCCACCTCAACAATCCAATAGAAATCATATTTCAAAATCCCATCTCGATCGGTTCACGCAATTCAAATTCAAATTGTACCATACCTACCAAAACTACCTACATCCTCATTCATATAATCTAACAGTAATCTTTATTCCAAATTTCAGGATCGATTTACTTACCATTCAGTACACATTGGTACGAATTTTCAAAACTTCTTGCATACCGAAATTATACACCCCAAATTTCAGGATTTTAGCTCGATTGGTTCACCCAAAATTCCAAGTGTACCAAATTTAGTACCATTTATTACACATTAGTACGAATTTCGAAAACATTCTTAATACTTTGAAAAGTATAGGTAAGACTTTTAAAATATTTGGGTCTGTGTACAAATATAGACACCTCAATTGAAAAATGCGGCTGGTAACCCTAAAATCCAAAAAATATCGGTACATAAAAAAAGGACTTAGTCAAAACAAGTACCTAAATAAAAAAAAAAAAATCGGCGAGAACTCGGAACGCCAAAAATCAGACACATTGTTTCGAAATGCAAGTAGGTACTTCAAAAGACCTAAAATATTGTCGCATCTGTTGAAACCCAGACCTCCGCAAACCATATACTGGACGTATAAGGGATGCCCATATTCGACGGACCCATCTGGCAACGCCATAACTTTTGACAGAGATGTCACATCGCTTAATGACATACCGCGTTTAAAGCGTCAGTTCAAGCAGATTTTTGCCATGAACCAATACACGCCACGCGAGCGCTCTGAAATAGTTGAAATTTACATTCAACAGAAGAAGTCAATTGTGAAAACTCAACGTGCTTTTAAAACATTAAAAAATGTGAGAAGTGCGCCTTCTAAGAACACCATTAAGGGTTTATACGAAAAATTTTCGACTGGTAAGGCTCTTTCTAATCCGAAGAGGCCATATAAAAGTCGACCAAGGCGATCGGCCGAGAATATCGCTGCCATACGAGCCAGTGTTGAGAGGTCCCCAAGAACATCCCAAAAACGCCGTTCTCAGCAGTTGGGCATGGCTCGGTCCACTTTACAACGGATTATTCGCATTGATTTGCATTTGTACCCGTACAAAATTCAATTGACGCAAAGAATGTTGCCTGCGGACAAGCCTCGTCGATTGGAATGGGCCCAAAGAGTCATCGAAATGGCCGAAGATGATGAGCAATTTTGGAACAAAATAATCACGTCCGATGAAGCCCATTTCACATTGAATGGGACCGCAAATAAGCAAAATTGCCGTTTTTACGCCACTGAAAATCCTCATGAGATTCAAGAAGAGCCTCTTCATGACGAAAAAGTCACAGTTTGGTGCGACGTTAGTGCGAAAACGGTCATTGGGCCGTTTTTCTTCCAAAATGAAAATGGCCATGCTGTTACCATCAATTAGGAGCGTTATCGCAACATGATGACCAATTTTGTGATGCCAATTATTCGTCGAAAGCGTATGAGGCAGTTCTGGTTTCAACAAGACGGCGCTCCACCGCACACAAGTCGCATAACAATCGATTTTCTGAAGAATTTGTTTCCGGGCCGTTTGATGTCAAAAAGTGGTATTTTGGACTGGCCACAGCGTTCGCCCGATTTGACGCCGCCTGACTTCTTCTTGTGGGGATATTTGAAGTCAAAGGTTTACGTTAACAAGCCAAGGACCGTAGAAGAGCTCAAGGACAACATTCGTGAAGAAATAGCCGCTATTCCGGCCGAAATGTTGTCAAAAACGATGGTAAATGCAGCAAAAAGGGCACAATACGTCATCAACGCCAGAGGCGGCCATTTGAGAGATATCATATTCAAAAATAGATGTAAACAAATCTACTTGGAACAAGTTAAATGATTAACATTGCCAACCGCCAAATTTTTTATTTTTTTCTGTGATTTTTTAAAAAAAACATGGGTCCGTCGAATATGGGCAACCCTGTACATCTGCCAGTATCATCGACTGACACTTTTTTACTTGAATATTTAGTATATTTTACATTATTTCTGATCGAATATTGAAATATACTCTCAAAAATATTCGATTTAATAATCAGATACCACTGTATTTGACGTTACATCTTCAGACATAACAAAGCCAGAAAACCGCACAGTGCTCTCAAAAAGGAAGAACAGTATTACCATACAAGAGTAACTGTATGAGGGCGTATTGGATTTTTTGAAAATTATAATTTTAAAACGACAACAAATTTAAAAAAGATAACAAATTTAAAAAAAAATAAATATGGAAGATGAAAGTATTATATAATTTTTATCATCGAATGATTGGTTATAACAATAATTCTCATATTTGAGGTAAATATGAAAGTTTCAAATGTTGCTTACTTCCATTGTTTCAAAATGTTAAATTGACATTGAAAATATTTTTTTATACTTTAAAATTTAAATTTATTATACTTTAAATATATGAAAAATAATGTCCATTTAAATATATTTGTTTATGTATGTTTTGTTTAATGTGTATTAAAAAAATAAATATGGAAAAACTACTTCTGGCGACCATTGACCCTCTTAACTTACAATTAATTAAGATAGAACATTGACACTTTGCCCCCACACACGAGTGGATATTATTATCGAGAGCGAGACCAACCAAATTTGGTTTATAATGTGAAACAAAATACTTCCTTTAAATAATATTTCAGATTTGGAATATTATTTCACATTCTGGTCAATTTGTGTAGTTTTTATATGTTATTCACTAAAGCTCCAATATTATTTCGAAAAGAAACAAAGACTTGGACACAGGATGATTTTTTTTACGGAGCTTTCACATTCCTATTCATATTAGTAATATACATGAAATCAGTTAAAATGCAGGTACGAGGAGTACCATGTACAATTCTGGTCTATTAATATAGATCCGAATATTTCTAATCAAAAATTATTTATTTTTGCTGGAGACACTTCCAAAATGTGGTATTTGGTCGTTTCTACAACGTATTCTGCCGACAAAATTCGTTGATTACTTTATGTTGTGCGATAACCAAATAAAGTCATTGGGCATATGACCCGTCAATTTCCCGTTTTGATCGGCCAAAGTGCCGTTGATCTGTGTCATTGTCAGAGAGCTCGCATTGTCTTTGTGCACCATGATTGCTCTCTGAAGACGTCAGACCAATAAATATTATTGTGCGGAACAATCGCCAAATGAACTGTGATTTGTTTCGGGTGCATACGCATGATATATGCTGTTACAAAACGTTTTTGAAGCGTCTACGATCTTATTTTTCAAAATTTCTTTTCACTGATCGACAAAAATAAAATTTCTGTTTAAATCACAGTAATTTTAGAAACATAATTTCAAACTTGCATGCCGATGTGGGTTTAAGGTGTATAGATCACACCTTCCTGACTTTTGTTATCCTCACGAAATTTTTCCGAAGGATATATTCCTAAAAGAACAATTTGTTTATTTCTACAGTCATTGGTGACAAACAGATCGCAATTTTAATTATACCCTCAGCCTTATGGCTAATGAGGGTATATACACTTTGATACGGTGAAAATGTGCCTAATCGAAATATTGAGTTTAAATCTCATGTTTCTTTGACCCAAATCCGTTTCAGTAAATTTGGAGTTGATTTACACATGTCCATCCGTCCATCTGTCTGGCTGGTGCATACGAAAACTCTCTAAGGGAATAATCGATTTCATCCAAACTTTGCACATCTTAATGTTTCTTCCGAACTTAGTTTTTGTTCGATGATGGGGAATATCGGTCCACTCCTTCTTGTACCTCCTACACAAAAGGGTCAAAATTGTGCTAAAAATTAATTTTATAATAACGTTTTTAACGAAACTTAGTGCACCCTATTATCTTTACCAAGTCTAGATTAATTAAGAAGATTGGACCCATGGGTCCATTCTACAGTTACGTCCCCCACAAAGGGTCAACATACTTAATATTGTTGAATCCAATATCAGGCGAATGGAATGTCCGATTTGAACTACATTTTGCTCAACCTATTACCTTTACCAAGCCCAGATCAAGTTTGAAGATGGGACCCAATGGTCCACCCCCTCAGGTACCTCCCACACAAATGGTCTAAATTTTTCATATCTATGAATCCAACATCAGGTGAATGGAATGTCCGATTTAAACCAAACTTTGCAGAACCTATTATATTTACCAATTATAGAAGAGGGGTCCACTTCTCCCCACAAATGATCGAAATTTTCAATGTTTATAAATCCAATATCAGGCGATTGGAATGTCAGATTTGAACCAAACTTTGCACAACCTATTGTCTGAACCAAGAATAGATCAAGATTGAAGATGAGATCCAGTGGTCCATTCTTTTTGGTACCTCCCACACAAAGGGTCAAAATTTTCAAAATTTGACCCAAGCTATGCATAAACTGTTATCTTTACAAGGTCTAGATCAAGATGGGACCCATTTGTCAACTCCTTCTGGTACCTCCCACAAAAATGGTCAATATTTTCAATATTTATAAATTTAATATTAGGCGAATGTAATGCCAGATTTGAACCAAATTTTCCACAACATATTATCTTTACCAAGCCTAGATCAAGTCCGAAGGTGGGACCCGTCAAATATATAATATTTTTGTACATTCTACAAAAATATTATATATTTGATCAACATAAAATCCGAACTTTAATTAAACATATAACTTATATAAACGAATAATAAAACCTGTGTATAACACCGAAGACCTCCTCCGCAAACCTTGGGTGTCGGCAACACCGACTGACACTTTTTTATTTACTTGTTGAAATAGTTATTGGACTATCCTTCGATTTCAGGCGCCCAAACGAACGGAACTGCAGATCCTATGCTTAACCTGCCGCATATTTGAATCGATTTTATACACGCTTCGTATATTATTTAGCTTATTGATTTCAGTACCTTTACTTGCTGTGAAAGACTCCATGTTATGTCTCTTCTCTGAGAACTGACATTATTCATTATTTCTTTCAGTACACTAGTGAGCAGTAAGGGGTGCAGACCGTTTATCTCTCTTATTTGTTTCCATTTTTATACCCTGTACCACACTGTGGTACAGGGTATTATGTCTTTGTGCATATGTTTGTAACAGGCAAAAGGAATCGAGATAGACCCATGGTTCCTTTTGAGAATATGCATAGAATCACTTTCTAAGTCGATTTACGTATGTCCCTCTGTCCGTCCGTCTGTCCATGTTAAATTGTGAACAAAGTACAGGTCGCATTTATTATTCGAATTGGATGAAATTTGGCACAGCTCATTCATTTGGCCAAAGGACGAACCTTATTGAAATTGGGAAAAATAGGTTCAGATTTAGATATAGCTCCCATATATAGTTTCGTCCGATTTCATGTAAATGGTGCCCCAAAGTCCCTATATATCTTTCGATTTGCACGAAATTTGGCATAACGTACTGAATTGAGCCTAGAATGATGTCTGCCAAGTTTAGAGAAAATCGGTCCAGATTTAGATATAGCTCCCATATATATTTTCGTCCGTAATAATCGGTCAAGATGGTGTACCAAAGTCCCTATATATCCTTCGATTTTCTCGAAATTTGGCATTGCGTACTGAATTTAGTCCAGACTGATGTGTGCCAAGTTTCGTGAAAATCGGTTGAGATTTAGATATAACTCCCTTATATTATAGGATTGATTTCAAGTAATTGACGCACCAAGGATCCAATATATGGTTGATAGGAACAAAACGTAATGAAATTAGTATAACCTAACCTGTGACAAGTTCCGTTGAAATCGGTTCATATTCGGATATAACTTCCATATATATTTTCGCCCGATTTTAAGTAAATTGGACATAAAACTCATCATGTTAGTCAGATTGACATCATATTTTGCACAACGTACAAAATTGAACATAGAATTACGTAGTTGCGTTTTGTAGAAGTACAGACATAGCTCAACGAATGACCTATTGATATTTGTTTGAAGTCGATTCACAGTTAGATAAATATCACATATTTTATTTCATCCAATTTCATGTTAATAGTCCTGTTTAATATACCCATAGTGGTGAAGGGTATCATATAGTCGGCCCCGTCCGACTTTACTACTTTTCTTACTGGTTTTTCTATGCTTCCTGGTCCACATAGCTTCTATTTGGTCTGAAATCAGCTTGTTATTATTATTTTTGTGCTTCCATTGTGAATCTTCATCGCAGAAGATAAACAGCGTTTTTATATAAAATTAAACACAAGTGCACCGGTGTAGACTAAATTTGGTAAAAAAAGTACTTCTTGACCAAAGCCGGTATGTTGGACGCAACATGTAGACGAAAGGTTAAACATTACGACTTTAGTGATTAATTTATATGAAATGGGAGGGAAGTATATACAAGAATCGATTACAACAAATTTCAATTCTTGGTGCTACAGTGGTTTTTGAGAAAAACATATATTTGGGTTTCCTGATATCGAATTTTCCCGGTATATCTTGACACAAAGTATTGGTCTTCATATTCATATTATACTCTAGGTTTGAAAATCCTAAGGAGACAATATTAGTGGTTCATCAAAGATCCAAAGTTTTTAGAGTAAGTTGAAATAGTTTCTGAAGATAATTATACCAGATAATTATACCAACTGTCACTTATAATTTACTTTGCAAACTATTACCAATTCAAGCATTAGATATCTTTGTAATTGATACTCTATTTAAATCAAATCTTAATTGGATAAATCAAAACCAATTTTCATTCTTTTCTAATTTTGACAAATAAATTGATTAATTAATAATTGATTTTTTTAAATACCAAAGGTGTTTATTTAATTATTTTGAATTATTTACTAAAGTACGAATAAAATTATTTATCTTAATTACAACACATATTCACATGTCTGCATGCTGTAAATTTTAAATAGGAAATATATATAGTCAAATTTATAAACATAAAAAACACAAGCTACTGTCCCTAACACCTTTTTTTTTAATAATTTGTTGTCATTTGATTCCCACCTAAATAAACACTCAATGATCAATAGAATTAGACGAATGACTCAAAACGGAATTCGATAGTTACTTTATTATCTTTTATTGTTTATTTATTAGTCAATAGGTGCTAAGTGATAAATTAGCATAACAAATGAAAACAACAATGTGTATAGTGGAGTTCAGTTTAACATATTCAAGCAAAGCGATTGTTTTTGCTATCTGTTAAAATTAAATTAAGCATTGTTATACTACGAAACCCAATCACGCCTAAAAGTATGCTACATATTTTATCAATATTGGATATGCATGTTGCTTAAACAACCTAATCGAAATGCGTTGTATTTTTAAGGTGCCATAATAAATAAATTGCAAATATCAAATATGATACGAATAGGGTTTCAAATATATTTAGCATAAATTTTGTTACTTATGATATATTCTGATTAACCAATTCAGGAAAAAATATTTTTTTTGCAAAAATTAATAAATTAAACCCTATTTGGTTTTCAAATAAGACTGGTAATATATCAGATCAATATAGGTCAGGAAATTTTGGAGAATTAGACTTAAAATCAAATAAAAAAATATACCTCTATATAGGGCTCATAAACTAATAATACAACCTAATTTCATACCCTCTCAGAGTAAGCAAAACGATATTCCGACTTATTTTCTTTACTAAGAATACGATAAACTGGCATTCGCAGGACAGGTTTTCCTACAAACTTTGAACCAAACAAGTTAAAACGAACGGCCGAACTTTTTATTTCCTTCATCATGAGGATGACATTCAAACATGTAAAGAGAAAACTCATGTCATGATAGGACCTTGAATATGCGAATAAAAATTGTTACATAAAAAAGGCTAGCGTTTTAGGGGGCTATACCAAAACGGGGATCAATTTTGTCATTTTTAGTAAAGTGATGTAGGGGTACCGTTATATGGGGGCTACACTCAAACTTGTTCAATATACCCAATATAAGGCGGTACTGTTATATAGGTTCTGCCCTGAAACATGGATCAATATTAATACTGTTTAGTGTGGAGATGTACTATACAACATAAACCTCAATTGACTGATGTTTTATGGTGGTGAACTTGCAACTGCAAAATTTTCGAAGGAGACTGCATATTTGTAATA